TGAGCAACTCTTACAGTATGTGGCCTGTGATCTTGATGCCTTATAACCTGCCTCCTTGAAAATGTATAAGCGATCCATTCTTCATAATGTCATTGCTTATTCCAGGACCACAGGCACCTGGGAAGGAGATTGACATATACTTGCCCCCGTTAATTGATGAGTTGAAAGAATTGTGGGAAGGTGTTGTAACTTTTGATGCATGTAGCAAACATACATTTCAAATGCGTGCTGCTATTATGTGGACCATAAATGATTTTCCTGCTTATGGTAACCTATCTGGATGGAGTAAAAAAGGTTACAAGGCATGCCCCATTTGTAATTTTGATGCATTATCATAGCCATTAAGAAGCAAAATTGGCTATATAGGCCATCGACGTTACTTGCCGCAAGATCATAGCTGGCGACGAAGTAATTTATTTAATGGTAAGATTGAGAAAAAATCAAAACCTTGTGAGTTATCGGGGCAAGAGATTTTAGATTAGTTGGAGTGTTTACCAAATGTGCAATTCGGGAAGCATCCAAACAATCGAAAAAGAAAGTGGTCATCTGAGGAACTCAATTGGACAAAGAAGAGAATTTTTTTTGAGTTACCGGATTGGCATGTGCTTAAGATTCGACACAACCTTGATGTCATGCACATAGAGAAGAATATATGTGATAATTTGCTTGGCACGTTGTTGAGTATTGATGGCAAGAATAAGGATACAGATAAAGCTCGTCTGGATTTGGAGGACCTAACTATCAGAAAAGAATTGCACCTCCAAAAGAATGGGGACACATATGTAAAACCAGTTGTCTGGTACACTTTGTCTCCAAAAGAAAAACAACAGTTCTGTGAATTTTTGAAATCAGTTAAGTATCCAGATGGATATGCAGCAAATATATTGAGGTCTGTGAGCACGAAGGATGGTAAGATATTAGACTTGAAAAGTCATGATTGTCATGTTCTTCTGCAATGACTTATTCCACTTGGAATTCGTGGTTACTTGGACAAGGAAATTTGTACCACAATATTTGAGTTGGGAAATTTTTTTCAACAAATCTGTGCAAAGACATTGATGGTAAAAGAATTGGATGCATTACAAGATAACATAATACTTATTCTTTGTAAGTTAAAAAAGATATTTGTTCCAACATTCTTCGATGTTATGGTTCATTTAGCAGTTCACTTGCCAAGGGAAGCCAAGATTGCTGGACCAGTGCAGTATCTGTGGATGTACCCAGTGCAAAGGTAATATCTCCTTATTTTAGGTAACTTGCTTCTCATTTGGTTTTGTTATTATCTTCTTATATGTTTTGTGATTTACTGAAGGTATCTCGGAACTTTAAAAGGATATGTTCGTAATCGAGCTCGTCCAAAAGGTTCAATTGCGGAGGCATATATTGTCAAAGAATGTTTTACATTTTGCTCGATGTATCTTATTGGTATCGAAACAATTTTTAATTGAGAGGAGCGAAATGCTGATCGAGTTGAAAATGTGCATGAGTTAGTTGTGTTCACCCAAAATGTTCGTCCTTTTGGGCGAATTACACGAGCAACTGAGGTCTCTCAACAGGAACGAGAGATGGCTCATTGGTTTGTCCTACATAATAGTCCCGAACTGGATCCGTATCTAGAGTATGTGTATGTTAAATATACATATTTGTTAGTATTCTTATTGTACTTTTTAATTGTTTAAAATTTGTTATATGTCAAATTTATGGTTTTATACGTAGGGAACACAAAAATATATTAGAGTTGGAAAGAAATGGTGACATCACTCGTCGCCACCAAGCAGAATTTTCCAAGTGGTTTGCAAAACATGTAAGCTATACAAATTTAGAGTATAAGCATTATTTGCATTAGTTTGTAAAACCATAAAAATTGTCACATTCATTTGTGTAGATGAATCAATTACAAGGCGAAGGGTCACATGAAACAACTGATGAATTGTGTTCACTAGTAAACGTTCCTGATGTGACAATAAAACTGTACACTGGGGCAAAATGCAATGGTGTCCGGTTCCACACTAAAGAGCGTGACAATCGTCGAAAAAGCCAAAACAGTGGGGTAGTTGTAGAAGGAGAACATAATAACAAAACAATTAACTTCTACGGATACTTAAATAAGGTGTGGGAGATGAGTTACATATTTGGCCATCGTATTTTTTTGGTCCAATGTGAATGGTTCAACCTTGGTAGTGGAAAACAGTTCAGACTGATGCTCATTTTACAAACATTAATGTAAAAAGTAAATGGTATCAAAATGACCCTTTTGTCCTACCTAATCAGGTGAAACAAGTATTTTATGTTAATGATACAAAATTGGGTAGGGATTGACAAGTTGTGCAACACATACATCATCGAGGAATATGGGATGTTCCTGAGTTGGAAGATGTAGAAATTAGTGAAAATGGATCGTATGTTCCAAGTGACACCTTCCAACAAGATGAATCAACAGAGGTTGCTTCGGTAGTGGTCGAAGATAACGAAATAGGTCAACTTCATAGGACTGATCTTGATCTAGAAATCACTCCTCGAGATCGAATTGTCCAATGGGGAAGCAGAGAAGACAATAACATTGATGATTTCATATGTGATGACAATGATGTGACACAAGTGGAGTATGTTGATTCAGAAGAAGATGATGATGTGCATTCCCATTTTGATTCTGATGAAGAGTCAGATATGTACATGAATTATTAAGATATTTTCATGGTAATTAATAAATTATGACTTATATAATTGGTATACTTAGATATTGTCGATATAATTTATATATTTCTTTATGTCAGGTGTTTTATATATATGGGACCTGGTCACTGACCCACCGCAACAACTAGTAAGGTTGCATCCTCTGAGGCACATACTAGGGGTGCATCCTTGAGTGCACGTGTTGAAGTATCGTTTGATGCACCTACATCACAGCCTGTTATAGGCACTGAGAGTAGCAATACAGGTTTGATGCATACTTTACTTTGTAAACATATTTTTCTTACTATGGTGGGCTAACCTCTATTATTAATGTTTGCGCAGCAGCTTCTACCACCAAGAAACGAGGTCGAGGACCATCTAGAGGGAAAAATGCTGAGCGTCTTCGTGCAGCTCACGACCCCCTTAATGTCTTGATTCCTGATGGAGTCGGTGTTTCAGTGGGTGTAAATTCTACAAAGGTGATGACAGAGATTGGCTTCCTGGCGAGGACGTTTGCCCCTATTAGAAATGTCCACAAATGGAAACAACTAACAGAAGAGGAGAAGGCACCACTCATTGCACGATTGTTGGTTAGTGGATATATTTGTTTGGTTTCAACAATATATTTATTTGTGTATATTGTTACAACATGTTGTAATTAATTTGTATATTTATATTATGTTGTAGACAAAGTTTAACATTTGAGACTATCATGAAAAAGTTGGTGTTAGGAAGTCAATCGACAAAAAATTTGTTGTGAGGTACAGGGACCACCGATACCATATGCATATGTACTACAAAGATTTGGTTGACTCTGGTGTTGACCCAAAGAGCAAGCCATATGGTGATGTGAGTCAGGAGGATTAGAACTACATAATTGAAACACTTTACAAGGATCCAAAATTTGAGGTAACTTTAATTAGCTATGCAAATTAATATCCATTTTTTATTCCCAATTGTGTACTAATTATGTTCTTTGTATATAGGAAAAATCTAAGAAAAATGCAAAATATCGTGTCAAATTGCCATACAACCACTCGATGGGTTCAAAGTCCTTTCAGGCTGCTCTATATGAAAGGATGTTATATTTTAACATTTGCTTCCTAAGTTTTAATATATAAGAAATTTATAAATTTGTGGATGATATTTTGATTAACTGTAATAGAGGGACCCTACGACTGATGAGCCACCCCACATTGCTGATTTTTTTCACGATTCTCATGTGAACAAGAAGGGTGAGTGGGTTTTTGCTGAGGCAAAGTCAAGATATGTAAGTATTTCAAATAGTAGAAAATTATGTTTTTTTTAAATAAATTTTGTATTATACACTCACTAATTGGGTTTAAATATATTAAATTGTAGGAGCGAATGAAAAAATTAGCCACACAGAACTTAGAAGAGGGTGTAGAGCCATTGACACAGGATGAAATTGCATGCACAGTCCTTGGCAGTAGATCTGGATATAAGAAAGGATTTGGACATGGCCCGAAGCCTTTATCATCTAGTGAGTCATTCAAAGCCACTGTTAAGCAATTGTTGATTCTCTTCAGCAGGAACATGATGAAACGAAACAAAAGCTAGAGAAGGTTGAAGACGCACAACAGATGATGCAACAGAAGTTTGAAGAATCCCAACAACGGATGATGCAACAACTTTTGCAGATGCAACTTCAAATGCAACGTGCTTTGGGTGGCACCTCAACTAATGCAGACATGCCACCTAAGTCGTAGTTTATGTGTAGTTTCTGTGATCACTATTTCTCGTGATAGCATATAATACTGATTTTTCTTGTACCCTAACTTTGAATTCACTCCCTTCTTTGATTATGTTTGTCCTTGCAACAAAATATGATGTTGCCATCTCAACAACATGCCCTGGACTTGATTATATTGTCGTGGAAACACCTGTTGCATCACAAGCTTGCGTGGATTTACTTTGCAGTAAAAACCTTGGTGTTGTAACTTTCATGATTTCGGTAGATATTTCATAAAAAGTGATGCTTAACATGGTTGTTGTATATTTTATGTTTATATTTGTTACTACTGGTTAAAACGAAGTTTCCAACACCTAACTGAAAGAATTTGGCTTTGGGTGACAAATCAATTCAAGTGGGTAAAGTCAATAAAATTTACTCAGCCCTTGCCAACATATTATGCTTGTTGTTTCCAGAGTCTAGCCCTTGTGTCATTTTTGCTTCCACTTGAAATTATAATTGTCACTGTGTTGCACATAGTGGGTTTGATTTGCACAAGGACTTGTGTAGGTAACTATAGATATAGAATGAAAAAGAACACTTGATGGTGCCCTTTTTGAAAAAATCTGGTGCTATGAGTGATGGGGGAAGTAAGTCACGTGGTGGTAAGATGGGGACATCTATCCGAGCTTCCAGCATTTCTGAAGAGGCCGTTGCTAGTGCTGAAAATGAGCTTTCTATGATGATTGAAAAATTAAGTCATACACGCCAAAGAATTGCTTATGCTGTGCGACATTACTAGGTTGCCGAAAAAGCAATTTCCCACATGGAGATGGAATTAGCAAACAGTCAAAAAGAGGTGACATTCTAGACTATATCGTTAACCACATCAATTAGTTCTATCTTAGGAGAGGAGAGTCTGATGCATTAAATTTCTTTATTTATGGCATATTGACAGTTTGACCTCACAATATGGTGATCTTGACCAGTTTGACCAATTTACATATCGTTGGTGGCTCCTAAAAACTATGTCTGTTTATAGCATGCACGCATTATGTCTTCTTGTTTTGGCAAAAATTCCCTAATGTGCCTATGATCTCTGTATTTTTAAGCTTTAGAGCTTCAGAGTATGATAGAAAATGTAGGTGGGGAAAGGATAAAAGCCCAAAAGTTGAAGGTTAACAAGATTCAGTTGGTGAGTGTATTATGAATATGAAATACACTAGGTACTACAAATAACAGTTCCACTTATGTATGGTGCCCACTTGTCAGGACATTGATAAAAGCAGCACAGAAGTCAACCATTCCAAAGTTCAAATACAAATAGGTCATAATACAATCAAATAGAAACAGGTTATGGAGAAGGATAATTTACTCTCTACCTTCAAAGAGATCGAACAAAAGGCATTTACAGTTCAGGAGAACTATAAGAAAACATAGAAGGTTATATTTGTTCATTTATGTTCTTGACACCTATGATGTTGAACCAGTTGCGAGAGTTGCTTATGTGATCGATGCATTTTTTTTCTCTTCTAATTTGTGTAGTTAATTGATCAACACAAAGATGTGCTGGATAGAGCAAAGCATGACTATGAACAACTGAAGAAAACCGTTGACGAACTGCGGGCATCTGATCAGGTTGATGCTGACTACAATTTTCGGTTTCGGTCTAATTACATTTTATGTAAAATATTGTTGTTCAACTTCATCAGAATGTCGAGTTGGTAAAAGAGTTGAAACTACGAATAAAAAAGCTGGAAGGAGTCGTGGGTGAATCCACCAAGGATTCTGATGTGTCTAAGAGGTAAAGCAATTCTTTGGTTTTCTCACTGTCTAGCATCTCAGTTACCATTAGCATGGTAATCAAGAAACACATGTTTCACAGAATTTGAAATACCATTTGATCTTTTCCCCCTTGTGTAATGGATTGTTAAAATAAATTATAATGAATTTTAATCTTTTATTTACATTTCATTATTGAACTTGGGGCTTTTTTAATATGTTTCTTTGTGTTCAATTTTTGTTCTCATGTGAATTTTTTTAACTTGAATGTTAGAAGAGCTTAGGTAGGAAGCTCTTTCTCAGGTATATGAATTTCTTTTTCATGATTATCATGACAAGATGATGTTCCGCTGAACTGAATTTTGCAAGTTAGTGTTTGATTGGATTGGATTTAATGATACATATTCTTTCTGCATGTCCATTTCTGCTCATCTTTATTTATTGATGCAGTTATTTAATAATTTACTAGTATATGGTTCTGCACTGTTAACTACTTGCACAGTGCACTGTTAACTATTATGTTATTTGTGTTATGTATATGGTCCAGAGTGCTTCAGATAGCAACAGTCGTTATAGGTGTAGATGTTGCTGATGGTAAAGGATAAGTTACTACTTGTACCAGAAGCATTATAGGTGTAGATTTTACACTCACAAACAACTATGGGGACATTGGAACATAGAGACATACCAGATTGGAACATAGAGACAAATTTTACCAGCCTATGTTGTTGGGCTTACTAATTAAATTATAATATCATTTTATCTTTATTTTTAGAAATGGTTTAAATCAGAGCATGATAGTCAGTTTCTGTTAAAAATCCTTTTTGCAAACTAGGGTCATCCTTAATCTTGATAGTTTGGCTGGACAATGATGAAATTTTTCAGTATCCAATTTTATTTCATTTGCATATCTAAATTTCTTTCTTAAGATGCTATAAGTGTTTCTTTCGGTGATGTTCAGGGGATGCTATTGTCAATGTTTACATAAACCATGAGAAGAAGGTTGTCTTCATGGAGATGAGATCTATTGAGGAGGCCAGTAATGCCATGGCCTTAGATGGAATTCTTTTTGAGGTATTTGGTTGTCTTCCTGAATCAATTAGGGCTGGAAGTTTGTGTGTCAATTATTTTTTGGTATTCCTTCTCCACCTTCTGTGTCTTAAGATGGGTGAGCCTTTCTTTCTCTTATCCAATGAGGATAGTGGTATAGCCAGATCAAGAAGATATTGCTTTTTATAGTTAACATCACAATGTCAGAAGACTTATGAGCTCCCATTTTTCTTTTTTCTCTTAGTAATCATTATTGAGCCCGCATTTTTGTAATGAATTCAAGTACAAGTTGCATATTACTGGAGTACGTTTATTATGTACGTTGACAATTGCCTCTCAAAGTGAATGATGTTAATTGTTTCCATGAAGAATACCATGTAACCCTATGTAGTTGGATTTGTATAACTCAATATCTAGTGTTGTACCATGGTGCTAATAGATGCAACTTATGATTCTCTTTAAAGAGGAAGATTCTATCTTGGTTGTACTTTTGTTTTCTTTGAGATTAACACTTATTGTCATTTTCCCCTGTTATCACATATTATCAGTTAGATCAAGTAATTCTATACCCGTTGCTTAATCCATGACTGCAGTGTACCATCCAAAATTTTTCCATCTATGGAACTCCTAAGCTTATACTTTTTCCCGAGTTTGCTGATGTTGTTCTTTCTTAATGCTGCTTTTGCAGCTTCGCTGTTTGGAACAGGGTGTTGACTTCCTAGTTGCCTCTCCAGGACGCTTGGTGGATATGATAGAGAGAGCCAAAGTTTCTCTCCAAAAAGTCAAGTATTTGGCTTTGGATGAGGCCGATCGAATGTTGGATATGGGGTTTGAGCGCTAGATAAGAAAAATTGTTGAGTAGATGGAGATGCCTCCACCAGGTGTAAGGCAGACAATGCTTTTCAGTGCAACATTTCCAACTGATATACCAGTTTGTTAACTAAATCCCTAAATATTTTTTTTAGTTGGTCAAAAATCAGATTTATGTTGTTCAGTTGTCTGGTGACAATGAAGTTAACTTTACCTGCATAAAAGTACGTATTTCCAGTGAGTGTTGTTTTTTCTTGTGTGGGTAGTTTTTTTTACCCAACTAGGAGAAGAAATTTGAGAGTAAGCAATAGAAGATCTATTAACTTTCTTTCATTGAGCAAAATTTTAGCAGATTGCTTTTTATATCACTTGATGCAATTGTGTGGTTGGGTGTTAGTTTTATAAATAAAGTAATATTGTTTGATGATAGGTTTCATACCTCTCTTCCGTACCTTGTCTTAGAAAATTTCTTAGATGTTCTGACATCAGCATTAATTTATTCTTGCAGAAGCTTGCATCAGATTTTCTTTCAAACTACATATTTCTAACTGTTGGAAAGGTTGGATCCAACACTGATCTGAATGTTCAAAGAGTTGAATTTGTCTTGGACATGGACAAAAGAAATTATTTGAAGAGGCTCCTTAATGCCCAGAGGGCAATTGGAACCCATGGAAAGGTACAACGAGCACAATAGCAGTTTCACCATAGTTTTGCATATTTGTTAAATGTCTTTCTTCTTGCTACATTTTCCATTGAATATCTTAATAATTTCGCTGATTGATCAGAACTGTATTGTCTTGATGGAGTAGGCTTTGACTCTTGTTTTTGTGGAAACAAAAAAGGAGTAGATGCATTAGAGCAGTGGTTATACAAGAACGGTTTTTCATCTATTGCCATACATGGTGACAAAATACAGATGGTTAGCCATTTTTTCTTTCTTTTTCACTCTATATTGGCAATTTTGGACTGGGGCATGAAAACCATGCACGAATGTCATTTCTCTTCTTAGGGCGTTTATGTTCCTACAATATTCAATATTAAAGTTAAAATTATAAAACCGTTCTGTTATTTGAATAATCTCTTTTTTGACATACATTTATCAAAATGTATTTTCATAAACATAGTAAAATACTTAATAGTTTGAACATCGCAATGGCCATAGTCTCGGAGCATCCCTCGGCTTCATTCACCTCTTCCCAATAGCGGGTGGCGTACTGCCAAAGGCCCTCGCCCACCTTTTGCTTGAGTGTGAGCAGCACACCGACATCTTTTAGCTTTTTGCCACTAGTGATGAACCAAGTGTGAATTGTTCAATCATTTGCCTCATGACCAAATGCTATTCAGAGTGAGGCTCTCACACCACTTCATGACAGTATCTCCCAGGCTCATGAAGAATTCTTGGCATAACAATTTGTGGTCAGTGGTGTAGATTGAGAATAGTTGTTTATACTGTCGAAGATGACTCTCCGGATCCGTTAGCCCATCGTACACTTTGAAGAAGGGTACAGTAAACTTCTTTGGCATTCAGACTTCTCTTATCAGGAACTTTTGGGGTCTAATTAATATTCAAATTTTAGGACTAAATTTTTAATGGAAGATAATTTCTTTTTCTATCGTGTAATTGTTAAGTTCAGAGCTTTTAAATGCTCCATAAGCACTTATGGAGTCTTTTTGTACTATTCTTTGGTGCCCTTCCTTTTAACAGTCCACTCTAAGTTGTGTCCGAAGCATCTCTCTCTATGATGATATAATCAACTTCAAGTGTAAGCTAAGCTTTGTTAGCTTTATAGTTGTCTCTTTTATCTTTATAATTCTTTGGATATATTTTTCTATCTTGAATTTCATCAATCCTTCTTTGGAATACTCGATGTGCATTCTTTAATCCAAAACACATAACTATGACATTCATATTGTCCTTGTGGAGTGCTAAAGGTTTTATTATAATATAGTACACTGTCATGCAAGGTCTTGGAAGCTCTATTGTTATTATTTGTAGAGTTGATTGCAGGGGAGAAGCAGGTTGGTTTCTTTATTGTTACTATGGAGGAGAAAACTATCATGGCCAATTAATTGGGTCTTGACACTTAGAAAACTATGCTGCAGGATTCTCTTCCAGCTGATTTATTGCTGCAGTTTCCTCAGTTGTCTTTGGCAGTCTTTGGGAATTGCAGTTGCATCATCAACTGGACTCTTCCAATTGGACTGTCAGGAAGTTTTCTCTTTATTTGGCCTGCAAACACAATGCAGCAGTTTTTGGTCTGAAGTGCACTATTCATGTGACTGTTTATGTGCATTTTCAGCTGCTATTGCAATTTGATTCCTTCATCAGCTGGACCCCTTCGGTAGTTATGATTTTTCATTTGTTTTTCAAATTCAGCAGCTCTTAGCTGGATTTTCTCAACTGGAGTCTGCTGCTACAACTGGAGCTTCCTATTTCAACTGGACTCTTTCTATAACTAGACTCTTACTTTAGCTGGACTTCTGTTTCAGCTATACTTTATATTTACAAATCAATTTGGTAAAAACCAACTTTATGGTGAGGTAATAGATCACTACTCATAGTTGTTTGACTTAATTTTCCTTTTACTATAGGAGCCTCACTTACTGCAACGTGGTTTTGGAGATATTTTCTGCATATCCACTCATTATGCTGAATCACTTTTGAGTTGTAAACATACTAAGGTTTCGCCTCAATTAGAGTATTTGCATATATTGTTTGCATATGGACTTAAAATATCTTTCTTTGGTAGGCTTTAGCTCATTTTCCCCTATTGGCTAAACAGTCTCGTGTGCAAGTTTTACATGTGTCCTACTAGAATATTTGATTGCTAGGCAGTATTTGCATATATTGATGCATATGGACTTAAAACGCTTGTTTCTCTTGACTTGGGAAACAACTTTTTTTTGGGTAAGCTTTTGTGAATTAATTAACCCAATGCTGGAAATCCATGGAGCAATTTAGAAATAAGTGATTTCTAGAATATTTGATTGCTAGGCAGTGATACATTTTTTTCCTTTCTCTTCTTAATGAATTAAATATTTCGTGCGACACTCTTGCCATGTTGCTTGTGTTCTGTAAAATTCATTTATCCCAATTGCTGCACAAACATGAAATTTCTGTTAAACTAAATGGAAGCTGCACTTTTTTCACCCCAACTCTTTCTTGGCCCATATTTTTGTATATTCATTCTTATATTATATTCTTTTTACCACCATTATCTTGACATATTTGATTTCCTTCTGAGCAGAAAAAACTTATATGCTATGTGTTTCTTTGAACTCTATAGACATTGGTTCGATATCAGTTGCCAATAGTGGTTATAGTGTTTAACAATAGTGGTGTATATGGTGGTGACTGGAGGAACCCTAAAGAAATTACAGGACCTTACAAGGATGATCCTGCACTGACTTCTTTTGTCCCTGGTGCTGGATATCATCTTCTAATTGAAGCTTTTGGGGGAAGGGGTTATCTTGTTGGGACACCTGATGAACTCAAATCGGCGCTTTCTAAAGCTTTTTCTGCACGGAAGACTGTTGTCATAAACATTACAATTGATCCATATGCTGATGCAGAAAGTGGGAGGATGCAGCATAAAAACTGAGGCAAGCTGTAGCAACTTTAATTTTTGGTTGCTTATGTTTCTTTGTTTGAGTGTGTACTCTGTTTGCATTTTCTGGATGTTGTCTTTTGTGACGCCTTTTGATTGGGTGAATCTAAACCTGTATTATCATGTGTAATTTATAAAGCTAGAGTCATGGTTGTTGCTAGCATGTAGACAAGACACACACTCATAACCAATACCTTATGTTTTTCAACTTTTGCTTATGTTAGCAATTTGGTTGGTGAATGGAAATTGAAAGTTCTGCCTCAAAATGGAGATTGAGGCGTTTGTCATATTTTTTTTGTGGCAGAGTTAGTTGTTAATAACCTTCCTGTGCACCTTAACATCTGCAATTACATGTTTTTTAGTTTATAATATGAAATTACACGTTGAGATTGCTTCAGTAGCCCCCTAAATAAGTGCGTGCATAACTAGCGATGAGTATGTGGATCAGTATTATTCCTTTCTCTTTCTCTCTCTCTGTGTCCCACTCCCCCCCCCCAAAAAAAAAAAACACACACACCCCCCAAATGTACAAAAAGAATCTTTGATCTTTATATCTGTAAATTGATTTGAAGTAAGCTTCTTAATTGACTGAGTTTATGAGCTATGGTATGTGGGAATGAGTACTTTTGCTAAGTGTCAGTGTGTTTCTAGGTTTCAGTACATTTGTTACTAATTATAGAGAGCTTTTTTAAATCATCCAGTAAGATGAGATATGGTGATTTTTTGTTAAATTTTTTTGTGCTGAGTTTCCATTTGTTTATTTTATCATTTTGCAGCCTATCCCAAATCAGAAAATCAACTTGAGACCTATGGAAGGTCTCCCTAACAGGTAAAAAATTGTTTGATAGATACACATAACATGAATAAACAAGGACAAACTGGTTGTGTTAACTGTTTAACTTTGTTAGGATCAACTGTTGTATCAGATAGGCTTTTTTTAGGTGTAACTCCCTCAGCCTTTTAATTGGTTGTAGCAGTTGGAACAATCACTGTTCACATGACTATTCAGCTTCTGCAACAGTTCGGTTCAGCTCACCATTGGAACCTCCTACCTGCTCCTTTCATCTTTTTCGGTGTAGTTAGGCAAGCAAGTATTTTTCAGTGCAATCCATGAAACATTAGGTTTTAAAATAGAGACATAACTTATTATTTTAGGGCCTTGAATGATATCTATTACTGTCGAACAAAGGTCATGTATATTTTAATTCCATTACTAAATGTAATTGATTCATCTAAACAAATAAGCAACTTATTTAGCACAAGCACATAACTTGTCAGAAAAAAGAAAGCTAGTACAAGCATCCATGGTGATGATGGCAGAGCACCGTAATGTTGAATTTGAATAACCGTAATCTATTGAGGAGCCATAGTCACACAATATTTACACTGGTATGTGAGTAAACTTTACGTTTTGATTTTTATCATTCATGATTAATACTAGTACTTGAGCAGGAGCTATTTGAGTAGCTTTATTTGGCTTTGCCTATTTGAGGGATTAAAGCCAGTTTTGCTAGGTGGATAATACTCTCTGAGATGGTGTATTTGAATGCATTGGTGTATTCTGTCTGCACTGGTTTGCAGGCTGTATTCTGGTTGAGCAGAAAGAAGTGGATGGATGTAGGATCAGATTTGCTAAGCTAATTTGTGAGTTGAGCTGTGCTGTTGCAATTCCTAGATTCCAGGTTAGGGGCTACTTTGGTTGCTGAACAACTGGTTTTTGATGTGTTGCTGAGCTGTTGAGTTGAGAGTTATAAAGGACAGCCATAATAGGAGCTATGCTACAAGTGGATCTGTTCCTCTTCCTTTAGGTCTTTTACAGGTTGTCTGATGATGCAGTGATCAGAGTTGCTGATCTAATGGCAGGGGTCAGATTGTGCAGAACTGAGCTGCAAATTGTGTTTGTTAGCTACTTCTGTAGATGAGCTGTGTTGTGAACAAAAATCATTTTTTCTATTTTTAGAATTTCTTGTAATTTGATTATTGTAATTCATTCTTTTTGGAAATAAAATTTTATTTTTTTTAAAAAAGATGTGTAATGTATTAATTGTGTTAGTTTTTTATTGAACACAGATATTATTGGTGTACAGGTGAAAAATTTTATTGGAATATCATTTTTGATGTAAAATAAAAAAAAATGAATTTTTTTGCAACGAAATAAAAATCGTCGCAAAAAATTGCAAGAACAAGCTTTTTTGCGACGATAATTTTACGTCACGAAAAGCTAATTAAATTATTATTTTTAACATTTTTTATTTATGAAAAAATTATTCGTGACGATTTTTTTACGTCGCTAAAAGTTAATTAAATTATTATTTTTTACAAGTTTGATTTATGAAAAAAATTATTCGCGACGATTTGTTTACGTCGCGAAAAATGAATTAAATTATTATTATTAACATTTTTTATTTATTTAAAAATTTATTCGCGACGATATTGTTTACGTCGTGAAAAGTTAATTAAATTATTATTTTTTATATTTTTTATTTATGTAAAAAATTATTGGCGATGATTTTTTTACGTCGCAAAACGTTAATTAAATTATTATTTTTCACTTTCTTTTGCTCAGGGAATGGATTTTAGCTATGTTTTTGTTACTTTTCGCGATGTTTTTTTTTTGTCACGAATAATTTTTTTTTGCGACGAAAAAAAATTTTTGTCGTAAAATACTTTCTGCGATGAGGATATTGCAATGAACATGTGATTGAAAAAAAAACGTCACAAAAAATAATTGGCGACGATTTTTTTTAATTTAGCAACGAAAAAAAATTGTCACAAAAAATGATTTTTGTTGTAGTGATATTTGCGTATGTGTAGACTGTTTTAGCATGTTTTAATTTAAATACATGAGCTGTCTTCTTTTAATTTTAATGGATTGTTTTAATTTAAATCTCATGGGTTGATTTAGTTAATGTCAAAACAGATTTTGTATAGGTGTAATTAAATATATTTAGCATAATTAACGGGCTGTTAAAAAATAGGTTCCGAATGGGTATTAAAATAAAGATGAGAAAAATATGGAATATGGCTATTTTAGATGTTTGGTATGTTTTTGAAGGCTAGGTTGGAACCGAAATTATGAGAGTGAAATGAGTTATTTAAAAATGTAATTAGGGGGCTGATTTTCATAATTTAGTGAATGTGTGAGTTTAGGTATAATTATTTTAAAATAAAAGTGCGATAGAAGTGGGAAATTGGGTGCTGGTGACGCCGAAACCCTGATTTTTAAATGTTATGATCACATGTGTGAATTTTAATCCAAATGACTTGAAATTTTGCATACAACATTTTTAATTGATGCTTGATGTGATAATGTTAGTTTCGAATGAAAATGAGTATAATAAATGGTGCAAAATGTATGAAATGCTGGAAGTGCAATTTTTGGGATTTGGGATCGAAATGTGTGAAAATGGAGCCCGATCAATGTGTTTGACCTACTTAATCCTAATTGTGATTAATGTGTGTGATTTTAGAAATTTGGAGAGAAAATGTGTGTAATACCCCACATGCGTTTAAAAAAAATAATAAAATAAAATAAAAAATAAAAAATAAATAAAAGACATAGGTGTTCAGTAATTATTTCATTTGAAATGATAAAATAGTATAACTCAAGGAAAGAGTAGTTAAAAGATTAGTTTCGGTATGAAAATGTACAAAATAAATCATAAAAGAACTTGAACTAATTAGGTCGATGTAGAAAAGTATGTAGGATAAGTTAGGATTAAAGTTGGAAGGATTGGAAGTGAAAAGGGGCGCCCAAATGGGCGCTGGGGCGCTGCTCCGGGTACATTGCCTACTCCGGACCAGTTGTCGTAGAATCGTCATAACTCTTGCTACAATGGTCCGATTGAGCTGAAATTTTGACACAATGCAGAAGACATCTAGATCTACAACTTTCATGTTTTACACTTTTTCAGATTCAAAGTTTATCATGATCAAAAATAAGGAAAACAGTAAGTCTGGAAAACCCCCAAAACAGACGATGAACAGTAAAAGTCGGGATTTTTGGGTTTTAAAACACCCATTCCAAGCCCTATTTCTCCCATTCTTCATTTCCCTTCCACTCTAAATACCTTAGAGCCCTAAGAGAAGAGAAAAGGGAGAGAAAAACACCAAGGTCAAGAGAGATTCCCACCTCATAAAGATCAAAACCGAATTTCTCAAGTTTTCTCTTCTCCACCCATTTCTTTTGCTTCTATTCCTCAACCACTCACACCCAAATCTCTAGAAACCCTAGGAGGACGAAATTAAGAGGAAAAGGAAGGAGAATAGGAAGATTTTGAATCTTGGGTCTTAGATTGAAGCTACAACCAAGAGGTAGGGGATTTCTTCCTAATTTCTTACATTGAGGCTAGGGTTTATGTATATACATATGTTTTCCACTCCCATCCATATTTATTTGATATGATTTGTATGATTCTTAATTCTCCTTATAATAAATGCTATGTTTGAATAATGGGATGGTTTGGTAACCATTAAATTTCTCTTTTTCATCTTCCAAACTTGGTTTTAAGAAAAATTGAGTTTTCTCCATATATTGCCTTGGTTCTCACTTTATAAATTTAGTGTTCGATATTGTTCAACGAAAATGATCTTTATATTGATCTTTTGCTCATTTTAATTCCATCTTGCTATGACGCTTTACTTGTGAAATTTGGGTATTTTGCGATTAATTGGTAAAATGTGAATTGATTGAGAATATGTTGGTTTACTCATTGTATGGTGGTTGGGAGGGACTTGGATTACCTACGAGATATGCCGTAGAGTGTAAATGTCAGTTGAACCCAGTGGGGGGGGAGATGGTTTCTTGCACTTGTAGTGAGTTGTCATTTGGTAATGCGACCACTATCGTACGCCTGGAGTTCGAACTAGGGTTGGTATACCATTCCTGGGGAGGGACTCGTCACTGCCATTGGGATGGTAGACGCCCCTTCCCTAAGCACTTGTGATTGTGATTATAAATGGGTGGACTAGGTATAATCGTTGGGTAGATTCAT